AAAGCAAGATAAGATGCATAAAGGATAAACATCACATGCAATCAATATAAGTGATATGATATGGCCATCATCATCTTGTGCTTGTGATCTCCATCGTCACCGGCGCGACACCTTGATCTCCATTGTAGCATCATTGTTGTTACGCCATCTATTACTTCTATGACTATCGCTACCGCTTAGTGATAAAGTAAAGCAATTACAGGGCGTTTGCATTTCATACAATAAAGCGACAACCATATGGCTCCTGCCAGTTGCCGATAACTTCGGTTACAAAACATGATCATCTCATACAATAAAATATAGCATCATGTCTTGACCATATCACATCACAACATGCCCTACAAAAACAAGTTAGACGTCCTCTACTTTGTTGTTGCAAATTTTATGTGGCTGCTACGGGCTGAGCAAGAACCGTTCTTACCTACGCATCAAAACCACAACGGTAGTTTGTCAAGTTGGTGTTGTTTTAACCTTTGCAAGGACCGGGCGTAGCCACACTCGATTCAGCTAAAGTGAGAGAGACAAACACCCGCCAGCCACCTTTAAGCACGAGTGCTCGCAACGGTGAAACCAGTCTCGCGTAAGCGTATGCGTAATGTCGGTCCGGGCCGCTTCATCTCACAATGCCGCCGAACCAAAGTATGACATGCTGGTAAGCAGTTTGACTTGTATCGCCCACAACTCACTTGTGTTCTACTCGTGCATATAACATCAACGCATAAAACCTAGGCTCTGATACCACTGTTGGGGAACGTAGTAATTTGAAAAAATTCCTACGCACACGCAAGATCATGGTGATGGCATAGCAACGAGAGGGGAGAGTATTGTCCACGTACCCTCATAAACCGTAAGCAGAAGCATTATGACAACACGGTTGATGTAGTCGTACGTCTTCACGATCCGACCGATCGAAATACCGAACGTACGGCACCTCCGAGTTCAGCACACGTTCAGCTCGATGACGATCCCCGGACTCCGATCCAGCAAAGTGTCGGGGATGAGTTCCGTCAGCACGACGGCGTGGTGACGATGATGATGCTCTACCGGCGCAGGGCTTCGCCTAAACTCCGCGACGATATGACCGAGGTGGAATATGGTGGAGGTAAGCACCGCACACGGCTAAGGAATGATCCGTAGATCAACTTGTGTTGTGCCTAGAGGTGCCCCCCTGCCCCCGTATATAAAGGAGCAAGGGGGGAGGGGGCGGCCGGCCGAGGAGGGGCGCGCCAAGGGGAGTCCTACTCCCACCGGGAGTAGGACTCCCTCCTTCCTTGTTGGAGTAGGAGAAGGTGGAAAGAGGGGGAGAGGAGGAAGGAAAAGGGGGCCGCACCCCTTGTCCAATTCGGACCAGAGGGGGGCTGCGCGCCTCCTTCCTTTCGGCCTCTCTCCTCTATTCCCATATGGCCCAATAAGGCCCATATACTCTCCGGCGAATTCCCGTAACTCTCCGGTACTCAGAAAAATACCCGAATCACTCGGAACCTTTCCGAACTCCGAATATAGTCGTTCAATATATCGATCTTTACGTCTCGACCATTTCGAGACTCCTCGTCATGTCCCCGATCTCATCCGGGACTCCTAACTCCTTCGGTACATCAAAACACATAAACTCATAATATAACTGTCATCGAAACCTTAAGCGTGCGGACCCTACGGGTTCGAGAACTATGTAGACATGTCCTAGAACTATTCTCGGTCAATAACCAATAGCGGAACCTGGATGCTCATATTGGCTCCTACATATTCTACGAAGATCTTTATCGGTCAAACCGCATAACAACATACGTTGTTCCCTTTGTCATCGGTATGTTACTTGCCCGAGATTCGATCGTCGGTATCCAATACCTAGTTCAATCTCGTTACTGGCAAGTCTCTTTACTCGTTGTGTAATGCATCATTCTGTAACCAACTCATTAGCTACATTGCTTGCAAGGCTTATAGTGATGTGCATTACCGAGAGGGCCCAGAGATACCTCTCCGACAATCGGAGTGACAAAACCTAATCTCGAAATACGCCAACCCAACATGTACCTTTGGAGACACCTGTAGTACTCCTTTATAATCACCCAGTTACGTTGTGACGTTTGGTAGCACCCAAAGTGTTCCTCCGGTAAACGGGAGTTGCATAATCTCATAGTTACAGGAACATGTATAAGTCATGAAGAAAGCATTAGCAACATACTAAACGATCAAGTGCTAGGCTAACGGAATGGGTCATGTTAATCACATCATTCTCCTAATGATGTGACCTCATTAATCAAATGACAACACATGTCTATGGTTAGGAAACATAACCATGTTTGATTAATGAGCTAGTCAAGTAGAGGCATACTAGTGACTATATGTTTGTCTATGTATTCACACATGTATCATGTTTCCGGTTAATACAATTCTAGCATGAATAATAAACATTTATCATGATATAAGGAAACAAATAATAACTTTATTATTGCCTCTAGGGCATATTTCCTTCAGTTGCTACTGGTAATAATGGAGATAACTGAATACCATGTGAATTTAACGCAAAATGAAGGTTCCAACCAAAGATAATACCCAGCACCTCCATGACATGATAATTTAAAATGGCATATGAGTGAATATCACCAAAAGGAGGACCTCCTATGGTGTACGAGGCTTAAATCTGATATATCAAGATCAAAGTCTTCTCACCATAATGGAGATAACTGAATACCATGTGCATTTAATAACACAAAATGAAGGTTCCAACCAAAGATTCGAAATACCCAGCACCTCCATGACATGATAATTTAAAATGGCATATGAGTGAATATCACCAAAAGGAGGACCTCCTATGGTGTACGAGGCTTAAATCTGATATATCAAGATCAAAGTCTTCTCACCATAATGGAGATAACTGAATACCATGTGCATTTAATAACACAAAATGAAGGTTCCAACCAAAGATTCGAAATAACGAGAACCTCCATGACATGATAATTTAAAATAACAAATGTGAATGTATTTTGTGAAGTTGCCAACTTGTCATATACACAAAAAGGAACAAATTTGTACTATAAAGTTATTCACTGTGCCATGTGATAGGAAAGAGAGAAAATATGCCTAGGTAGGTTATTACTACAACTGTTGCTCCTGCTACTAATTACCGGTCACTTCAATCAATAGCTAAAAAGTATTTTTAACGTTTTTCTCTGCCCCTGCTTTTGGATTTGATTGCAGACTTGATTAGCCTTACCGAATCTCAGAGTTGCTTCACCAAGGCGTGTCGTTTTTCACCTTCCCATTGCATTCAACAAAATATTTTCCTATCACTCGGTTCATCCCCACATAAGACGTAGCTGATGCTCCCTGGAAAACCACATTTGTGTATCTTCTGTTACATACATGAGATTCTCTAATGCGTGTTTAGGCAGGAGCTAGCATGTTAGGAATGAAACATACAAGCCCAGTGAACACTTCCAAACTAAACTAACCTATGAATCCCGCTTCGGCGAAGCGGGTGAGGAGGAGGCTTACCAGAGGTTGGAGGAAAATGAGAGCAGGGACTGCGATCCGAGCATCCCCATCGCTGGCACTCGCTGGAATTGGAACTGGAGCAGCAGCAACAACAACAACAATGTGGGGTAGGGGGAACTGGAGCCTGATCCCGACGCCGCTGCCAAGAAAACCGCATACCACCATCTGAAAAATGTTCATGTGCATCTCAAGATAGGAAGAAATTAATCATGAAGAAACAGAGCCATGGATCATGCTCTTTGTGCACATTTTATCAAACAACTCGACTGCATAACCCAACCTCCCATTTATCCACATACATAGAAAGAGATGCACGAACAGGGGCCTTTGGTTCTTTTTTAGCAGGCCGCTGCTGCATCCTCGTGCTGCTCGTTGGTGAGAAAAGGTAGGAAGAGGAGAAGGAACAAACCTTGGAGCTGGTCGATGTGGTGGGCACCGGCTGGCGGTTGGTGTGGGTATCTGAGGCGGCGTCGCCGGCAGTGTCCTGGGATCCGCGACAGCAACGTCCTGTTCCTGATCGGCGACGGCCGCGTCCTGGTCCATGACGTATCGGAGGCGCCGCCGCTGCCGACGTCCTGGTGGTCCGCGACGGCCCCGTCTTGGTGATCTGCGACGGCGTATCCCCAGATCGGCGGCGGTGTCTCCTTTGAGACCTTGTCCGGGAGAGGAGGAGCGTCTATGCGGTTTTTTGCCTCAGGTGATGCCGGTGCGAGGGTGGGCGTCGGCGTGGCGGCTGGCGACGCTAACCGCGCCGCTGGACCTCCTCCCGCGCCTCCTAGATCATCTCCACACCGTCCCCGGAACAGGATCCAACTCCTACTCGCCTCCTCAGCCAGATCTGGCCGAAGATTGCCGTCGCCGCGCAGCAGCGTGGCGGTGGGTGGCGGGGCACTGGAGGTGGGGGTGGCGGCGCAACAACGTGGTGACGGGTGGCGGCGCACTGGAGGCGTGGGAGGGGTCGTGCGGGTGGGAGGTTCTTTTTTTATTTTCTCTCTTCGTTAGGAATGTAATGCGTACTTTATTAGTATGGAAGGAGATCGGTGGGAGAAATAAATCGGAGAGGGGGATGATTTGTTTGGAAGGTGATCTTCTGTATATGGTATTATTTTTGAATTCTTAATTATCAAATATTTACATGATTAAATTGAATCGACACCTGCCAGATCAAGCACGAATATATGGTAACTAATCTGATGGGTTTATGTGGGTGGTGAAGCGAAAAGGCAGGTGGAAGGGAGACGAAATAAAACCAGCGAAATAAAATCAACGAAGTGGTGAGACGAAAAAAAACCAGCGAAAAAAAACCGGCAAACTATTCACCAACTGCTATATTAGAAGTAGAGATCATATCCCGACTTACCACATTCGTCTCCCCATTAACCATCTGCCATTATAATCTTACGCAAATTCGCCTATAAATACTGCCCTCTGCATAGCAGCAGCAGCAAAGCAACCCCAGTAGAGCTAATCCTTGGGAGTTAAGCTAGGACACGATGCCTCGGACGATGGTATCCCGCGCTCTCCTGCTCGCCGCCGTCGTCCTGACGGCCCAGCTGTGCGCGTGCACGGCGTACGCCGTCAGCGGAGGCGATGGGTTTAGCGTGGAGTTCATCCACCGTGACTCGGTCAGGTCGCCGTTCCACGACCCGACGCTCACCGCGCCTGCCCGCGTGCTCGAGGCCGTGCGGCGGTCCGCGGCTCGCGCCGCGGCGCTCTCGCGCTACTACGTCCGCGTCGACGCGCCCTCAGCTGACGGCGGCGTCGTGTCCGAGGTCACGTCCAGGTCGTCCGAATACCTGATGGCCGTGAACATAGGCACGCCGCCCACTCCTATGGTCGCCATCGCCGACACCGGCAGCGACCTCATCTGGCTCAATTGCAGCTAAGGAGGCGACGGTCCTGGTCTGGCGGCCGCCCGTGACGCGGACGCGCAGTCGCCGGGCGTCCAGTTCGACCCCTCCAAATCGACGACGTTCAGCCTCGTGGACTGTGACTCCGGCGCGTGCGGCGAGCTGCCCGACGCAGCCTGTGGCACCGACTCCAAGTGCAGGTACTCATACTCCTACGGCGACGGCTCCCACACAAGCGGCCTCCTCTCCACAGAGACCTTCACCTTCGCCGACGCCCCGGGCGCCCGCGGCGATGGGACGACGCGCGTGGCCCACGTCAACTTCGGCTGCTCCACGACCTTCGTCGGCACGTTCATCGGGGACGGCCTCGTCGGCCTCGGCGGCGGCGACCTCTCCCTCGTCAGTCAGCTCGGCGCAGACACCTCGCTGGGCCGGAGGTTCTCCTACTGCCTCGTGCCCTACTCCGTCATGGCCTCCTCCGCGCTCAACTTCGGCCCCCGGGCCACCGTCACGGATCCGGGCGCGGCGACGACGCCGCTGATCCCATCCCAAGTGAAGGCATACTACACCGTCGAGCTCCGGTCCGTCAAGGTCGGGTACAAGACCTTCGCGGCGCCGGACCAGTCCCCCGTCATCGTCGACTCCGGCACGACGCTCACATACCTCCCGGAGGCGCTTTTAGACCCACTTGTGAAGGAGCTGACACGGCGGATCAAGCTCCCGCCTGCCCAGTCGCCAGAAAAGTTCCTGCCGCTGTGCTTCGACGTGAGCAGGGTGCGGGAGGGGCAGGTTGCGGCCATGATCCCTGACGTGACGCTGGGGCTGGGCGGCAGCGTTGCGGTCACGCTGAAGGCGGAGAACACGTTCGTGGAGGTGCAGGAGGGGATCCTGTGCTTGGCGGTGGCGGCGATGTCGGAGCAGTTACCGGCGTCGATCATCGGGAACATCGCCCAGCAGAACATGCACGTTGGGTATGATCTCGACAAGGGCACCGTGACCTTCGCCCCAGCAGACTGCGCGAGTTCCTACCCCGCCCCCTCACCCTCCGGTTCTGTGTAGTGTGTAGCTTATGAAAGCGGAAAATTGAGTGCCGGCAGATCCCGGACCCTTCATCGAGTGCTCAAGATTGGTGGCCAGAATAATGTACTCAAATGAAATATAAGCGGAACTGTTACTCAAATGAAATAACTGCAATACACTCTTAACGTGATAGATGATACAATAGGTCACATGTTTTTCAGTCCAATATACTGCTAGACCTACAAAATTCTACAAATATTTTACTTAACTTCCCAAACTAATTATCTCCCTCCCCCTGAATTGAGGTGGGCCCCTTCATGAGCAATGCTAGACGTACGAGAGGAGATTTAATTAGGAGGGCGGGCCCACCAGTGAAGGCCAATTAGATGAGACCACGTTCTCTCCCTGTAAAGTCTTGTATCAATCTGCCTGTACGTCTAGTATTATTGCCCCTTCATCCACCTATTACCTATTATTAACCTTTGTCGATAGCATTACTCTTTTCAATCATGTTATGCGCTGCCCTTCTCTCTCCCAAAGAAATGCACTAATATATTTTACCTTCACTAGCTTCAATCGTTCACATCTTTTAAACCAGATAATTCATGAAAAAAAAGGAAA